CCCAGGTCGTTCTGCAATCTGCCCGGCGCTGAAAAGGCTTGGCCGTTGTTTCGGATCTGCTGCAAGCAAGGCTCGCGTTTCCTTGTACAAATCGCTTGCCACGTTGCACATCTGCAGAGAGACACAGCTGTGAACATGAACAACTACAACAACAACGACGACGACGACGACGACGACAGTAACCAGAGCGTCTTAGAATCATAGAGAAAAAAATAATATTTGACTGACCTCGGCCGCCAGATGAGGAAAGCTAAAGGCACCATCTCCCGCTTGGAAATTCCATCTGCAATGACCCACAACCTCATCGGTTCGCGACTGAGCCGGCGGCACCGTTTGTGGGTACATGTAGGTGTTGTAGAGAACGCAGCCAAAGGAAAAGGCATCCTGTGCTGGACGCGCCCCCACTCGACCCTGGCCGAAAAGCACCTCCGGTGCCACATAGCCCGCCGTGCCCGACGATGCGGTGGCCGTGCATGGTAGCATGGTGGCTTCAGCGGCGGCCTTGGCAATGTCAAAATCGCCCAGCCGCACAACAGGTTGGTCCTCTGCACCGTCCAGCATGATGTTGCTCAGCTTGACATCCCGATGCACCAGGCCCCTGCTATGCATAAACGCCAGGGCCGCGCGCAGCTGATTCATCAAACCTGCAATGACAGCCGAGGTGGCCAGGTGCCGTGCCTTGCTGAGCCACTGCTGCAGATCCCCCTGTGCACACCACGGCTGCACCAAGTAGGCGCTGGGGTGGCCACTGTGCACATCCACAAGCGCGCCAAGGACCGGAGTGATGTGTGGGTGCTCAAGCTGGCGCATGGCGCGGAGTTCGCGCAGAAACGTACGGCACTGGTCCTGCTTGTGTTGCCGAGCAAAAGCGTACTCCTTGACAGCCAATTCTTGTTCAGGGCACTCTGGAAGCGCGGCACGGGCCTTGTAGACCTTGTGGTTTTGGTTGCAATGGAGCTCAAGCTGGCCCAAGCTGGATAGCGTCAAACCCTGGTCTACTTCGGTCATGGCCTCCAAGATCAGGCTGGCTGGAAGGTCGGGCCCAAGCACAGTGCGGAGGCGCGCTCCCATCGTGCTCTGTTCAGGGCGCAGAAAAACCAGCAGCGCTGGAAAGTGCTGATGCAGCAGCTGGGCGAGCTCTGCGACGTGGTCCACGTGTGGCTGAACTGATAATTGTTGTCGTAAGTTGTCGCGTCGCGTTTCTAGCTTTTTCAGTTCTTGCTCGAGAGCAGACCGAAGAACTTCGGGCACGAGCTGTAGAGCTGCGCTGCTGTTTTGAACCTCAGTCTCCACCTTGGTCAGTTCCTCGTTGGCAGCAACCGATTCATCATCGACGCCTTGGGTCAAGCTGTCCACGTGCCTCATGCACGAGTCCAACATGGAGAGTGTCGTGGCCTGCCAGTCGATCATGTCTTGTAACTGCTGCAGCAGAGCTTGCGACTCGTGGTGCACAAACGCCAGGTACCAATTCTGATGCTCGTAGTCTGGAGGTGGCTGCCACTGAGCAATTTGCTCGAGACCGTTCTGCTCGAGCAGGCTCAGCTTCTCGTGAGCTTGGCACAGCTCCTCCCAGGCCTCGGGCAATGTCTCAGCTGGAGGAGGTGCACTTGCATCCACGCATTGCGCGCACTGCCGTAGCGTTTCCACGCGATGAATCGTGTCGGTGGTTCCCGCTCTTGCCACGGCGCCCAGGGCATCGATCAAGGCCAGCACCAGGCGCTTGAGGTTGCTGTTGGCGCTGGTGAGCAGCTCCTGACGCTTGGGTTCCACGCCGCTCAGAACGATGACTTTGCTCAGGGCCGAAGCTAGGTCGGTGGGTGGCTTCTTGGGCGCGATCACTGGCGTGGTGGGTGGAGCGGGGCACGCTGCCAGCATGTCCTGAAGCTCGAGAAGCACCGGCTGCAGCTCAAAACCAGCAGTGACACCGTGCAGCTCTTGCAGCACTGATTCTAGGTTGTCAGTGTTGGGGTCCAATTGCTTCAAGCGGTTGCTTAACGCTTCGGGCGCTGCCAGTGCCTGGTCGAGTGTGTTGAGAGCCTGGGTGGTAGTCGTCTGGAAGGCAGCCCAATCCATGACGGGAAACTCTCCTCGAGCTTCATCGATGGTTTTGCGGATGGAAGCACCGACCGTTGCAAGAT